TTGACCGGCGGCGGCGGCTGCTGCTGCTCCTCCTCTCCACCGGCGGCGGCGGCGGCGGCGGCGGCGGCTGCAGCTGCTGCTGCTGCTGCTGCTGCTGCTGCTGCTGCTGCTGCTGCTGCTGCTCCTGCTGCTGCTGCTGCTGCTCCTGCTGCTGCTGCTGCTGCTGCTCCTGCTGCTCCTGCTCCTGCTCCTGCTGCTGCTGCTCCTGCTGCTCCTGCTGCTCCTGCTGCTGCTCCTGCTGCTCCTCCTCCTCCTCCTGCTGCTGCTGCTGCTGCTCCTGCTGCTGCTGCTCCTCCTACTGCTGCTGCTGCTGCTGCTCCTGCTGCTCCTCCTCCTCCTCCTGCTGCTGCTGCTCCTGCTGCTGCTGCTCCTCCTACTGCTGCTGCTGCTGCTGCTGCTGCTGCTCCTGCTCCTGCTCCTCCTCCTCCTCTTCTGGTTAGTGTGACTTTGTAAATGGTCCAAGTTGGACCGAAACGTCGTCGAAAGCTCCTCTCTTCTATGTGCGGGTTATTTGTGTATCGTTCCAGTCACGGTATTGTGCCTTTTTTTGTTATTTATATATGCTTCTTCTCTCCCTTGCTCGAAAGCCCAACTGTCTACGGTCGCTTCCCGCTCTCTTTTTCTTGACCACTGCCACTCTCATTCTCATGCCATCGCAGTGTACACAGATGGCTCTAAGTCTTCTGACGGCGTAGGATTCGCAGCAGTGTTTCCGGACAGCATCGTACGAGGGCATTTACTATCTTTGGCTAGTATTTTTACTGCTGAATTGTATGCCATTCTTGCAGCACTTATCCGTATTGCATCTATAACTGTGTCATTATTTGTGGTTGTCTCAGACTCCCTTAGTGCTTTACAGGCTATACAGAAATTTGATACACCTCACCCCTTAGTCCTCCATATCCAACTTTGGCTACGCCGCATCTTTACCAAGCATAAAGATATTGATTTTTGTTGGGTCCCTGGTCATGTTGACGTACAGGGCAATGAACAGGCAGACACTGCTGCGCGGTCAGCAGTACATGACCTACCAGTTTCATATAGAGGTATTCCATTTACGGACTATTTTGCTGCAATAGCTACCCACCTTCACACCCGTTGGCAACAACGTTGGTCTACTATGCTCGGTAACAAACTTCAATCTATTAAACCGAGTATAGGTTACTGGCCGTTTTCTTGTCGCCAGTGTCGAGGTTGGGAGACTACTCTCTCCCGTCTTCGCATTGGCCGTACTCGTCTTACTCATGGATATCTCATGGAGAGGCGCCCTGCTCCTCTCTGTGAGAATTGCCAGGCTCCATTATCAGTCAGCCACATTCTGTTGGACTGCCCACTTTATCAACGAGCACGCAGAATTTACCTCCGTTGTCGTCTTCGCTCTGCTGCTCTCTCTTTACCTTCCCTTCTCGCTGATGGACCCACCTTTCATCCGGACTCTCTCATTGACTTTTTGACAACAACTGACTTACTTCACAAACTCTGATGCCTCCAGCCCTTTCTACCTCAATCTCTTGCTACCCTCTACCCCCGCACTGTCTCCTGCCCCGCTGTTTTCTGTAACCTACTGATCATCCCTCCCCCCTTCTGCCGCCCAATTCCCTCGCTTCCTTCCCTACCCTGCAGTGCTGTATAGCCCTTGTGGCTTAGCGCTTCTTTTTGATTATAATAATAATAATAATAATAATAATAATAATAATATATATGCTTCTAAACTGTTGTATCTGGGTGCCTTCGCAAAAACAGTGATTGCACGTGAGCGAGGTGAAAGTGTTGAATGATGAGAATATTTTCATTTTGGGGATTTTCTTTATTTTTGGGTCACCCTGCCTAGGTGGGAGACAACCAACTTGGTGAAAAAAAAAATGTCTAAGGATAGCACAATAATACAGTGGATCCCCGGTATTCGATGGCATCGGTATTCGATAAATCCGGTTTTCGATGCATTTTAATGCAAAATTTTTTCCTCTGTATTCGATTGAAAACCCGGTATTCGATACGATTCGTACAAGACCTGTCCTCGTGTGGCCTGAACTGCCCCGTGTATGCTAGTGTTTACAAGCCAGCCAGTGTGCGTGCATCTAAGGATACATTCGGTACATTCCATATTATCACTGTGTTTGGTGCTTGTTTCTGCAAAATAAGTCACCATGGGCCCCAAGAAAGCTTCTAGTGCCAACCCTTCGAGAAAAAAGTCACTAATGACTTATGAAATGAAGAAAGAGATAATTGCAAAGTACGAAAGTGGAGTGCGTGTGTTGGAGCTGGTCAGGTTGTATAATAAACCCCAATCAACCATCTCTACTATAGTGACCAGGAAAACGGCAATCAAGGAAGCTGTTCTTGCAAAAGGTGCAACTGTGGTTACGAAACAGCGACCGCAAGTGTTAGAAAATGTTGAGAGATTGTTATTGGTGTGGATAAATGAAAAACAGATAGCAGGAGATAGCATCTCTCAAGCGATCATTTGTGAAAAGGCTAGGCAGCTGCATGACGATTTGGTGAAGAAATTGCCTGCAACTAGTGGCGATGTGAGTGAATTTAAGGCCAGCAAAGGTTGGTTTGAAAGATTTAAGAATCGTAGTGGCATACATAGTGTGATTAGGCATGGTGAGGCTGCCAGTTATGTTGTGCGACAGAAGTCCAGTGACTCTCAAGCTGGTCCTAGTGGCATTAAAAGAAGAAGGGAAGTAACCCCAGAAAAGGACTTGCTACCTCAAGTCCTAATGGAAGGGGATTCCCCTTCTAAACACTAACACCTCTCCCCTCCTCCCATCCCATCAATCATCACCAGATCTTCATTAAAGGTAAGTATTTCTTGGGTGGCATTGAAAATTGGGTTGGGCAAATGTTTTGTTAGTGGGATGAATTGTAAAGGACCTGCCTAGTATGGGCCAGCAGGCCTCCTGCAGTGTTCCTCCTTTCTTATGTTCTTATGTTCAATTATTTTATTGTTATTGTAATTATTCTATTGCATTAACCCTTTCAGGGTCCGTCCCGTAGATCTACGGCTTTACGGTGAGTGTCCAAACCGTAGATCTATGCCGTGAGCTCAGCTCACTCTGATAAACTGTGAGTGGTACATTTGGGCCTAGATATGAGAGAATACATCTATGTGGTATGTGTGCACCACATAAAACAGATCCTGCAGCACACTGTGTATAATGAGAGAAAAAAACTGAAATCATGATTTTTCGATTAAAACAGCAACTTTGCAGTGTTTTTTCGTATGTTTTTTATAGTTGTATTTGCGATTTCTTGGTCTCATTTGATAGAATGGAAGACATATTACAGAAATTGAGATGATTTTGATTAGTTTTAGCACTGGAAATGGCTTGAAACTGAGCTCAAAGTAACGGAAATGTTAAATTTTTGCCGATATTCAAGAGTAAACAAACAACCTCACACGTCTAATACACGTCAGCTGGTGGGTCTAATATACATTCACAAATATGGTGATGATATTTATAGAATTATTACAGTATTGCATAACAGTAAATCTTCTATTTTTTGGTGTGAATAAAAATTCATTATGTGAATAAAAAATCAAAATGGAATTTATTTGTAAAGCCTCAAAACATAACTAATGAACAGAGGAAATGTTAGTTTAGTGCCAGGAATACCTACATTGTTTATTCTGGACCCTATTTTGAAATTGGAATATTTTGAACTTTGTGTTAAATTGACCAAATTAACAATTTCCGATCACTTTATTTTGTAGTTGAAACAGTTGACTTGGCGATTTCTTGTGCTCAGTCGATAGAATAGAAGTAATACTAGTGAAATAGCTAAGAATTTGGTTGATTGGAATAATGTAATTGGCCTAAAATGGGAGTCAAAGTCGGCAAAATCGCCGATTCGTAAATATCGCTGACACATCAAAATTCACGAGAGCATAATTTCGTCAATTTTCTACCAAATTTCGTACTTTTTGTTTTATTACCTTCACAAAAAGATTCTCTACGATTTCATAAGAAAAAATAACAAAATTTTTTTTTTGAAAATTCTTGGACACTGGTGCGTGACTCCAGATTTGGGCCTTGGACCCTGAAAGGGTTAAACTTAATATTTCATGTAGTAAAAACTTTTTTTTTTCATACTTTTGGGTGTCTTGCACAGATTAATTTGATTTCCATTATTTCTTATGAGGAAAATTGATTCGGTTTTCGATATTATCGGTATTCGATGAGCTCTCAGGAACGGATTAATATCGAATACCGGGGGTCCACTGTATTATAATTGTTGCATTAGTGGAACCTAGCTTGATGGACTAATGTATGATGGAGCTGACTGCCAGAATCAAAATTATATAGTCAGAAGCATGAGTGGTGCATGGCATGATGCACACCACTTGTTGGTAACCATATGTGGTCTGAGCTTTGGCCCATGACATTCTCACTGGCACTAGCCACTTTTGGCTTCCTGTCAATAGCAAAAGTATACTGTATATATATACTGTATACGTACATATGTGATAGGCAACATTGTGTTATGCATGGCATTTAGAAAGGCTTTAGAAAGGCTGCTTCACATGTTTATCACTGTAATAAACGTTATTAACAAATGTCTTGTTAGGCAAACATCTCTTCCTGGAGGTGGTAAGTACAATACTTGTACTCTGAAGGATAAGTTGGGGTGTTACAATTCACTGCAATTGGGATGATTGTGTATTTTTGGCAGATCTTTTGTTGAATGACTGACTGTGAATGTGTTTCCAACTCAGGGTCACACTACCATGGTGGGTGACCCAAAATGGAAATGTATCAATAACTGCCAATTGGTTCTTACATTGTATATTCATTTAGATTGTATACTAATTCATAATTTTGTAAGTTTGTCATACCTCAAAAAATTTTTAAAATTAAATTTTGTTTGGTTAAGATTTCAATCTGCTTTTTCCCTTTTAAATTAAATATTCTTATTTTAAATGTTTTAAAAAAAATTGGATGACTTGTTTTACAAAAATTTGATAGGTCTTACACCGTTCTATTGGCTTCTTTTGCCCCTATTTGGTCGGGAAATGGGAATTGGCAAGCAAGTGACCGATTTCGTGTGCATCGAGGATTCACACGAAGCTTTGACATCATCGCTCCCTTTTTGCTTCATGTGTTCCCATTTTTGTGGTAAAACTTTTTTTAACCCTGCATAGATTTTTCAAGTAATGGTAAAAGATGTGCAGATGCTATAGAAAAAGTTAAATTTACTTTTATTTCTGTATGACCCCCTAGGGGGTATTGACAAATTTTTAGGAAAAAAAAAAAAAAAGAATTCAAAAGGAAAAGTTAAAATTCCCAATATTCTTTCCCTTTGGGAAATTTGAGAAAATATTTTTATTTTGGGCTTTATTTGTCACTGGTTGGGAAAGCCCTTGTCCATAGGGCTCTGCAGTGTTTTTATTCCTTCTTTTAACCCCTTTTAAATGCCAAAAGGACCCCCCCAAACCCCCCCCCCCCCCCGAAGAAGGGGGTCTGTGCACTCAGTGTGGACTATTAAAAAAATTGGGGCCTTAGTATGTGGGAGCACCGTTCTATTGAGTGCCAGCAGAGAAATACGTGGCAAACACGGGATTACTGATGCCTTCACATTAACACCCCCATTTTAAGGGAAAGTAAAAATAGGTTAGAAAAATTTCATGGGGGGAGTTGGGTGGGTGTGAGTTGGACTGTTTGTTGTGTACTGGGTTTTGATTTTATGCCCCTTCCCTTCAATGGATGTGCCCGATAGGTGGGTCTTGGTTAAAACGGGGGGTGGGTGAATATACTGCTTGCATGGGCCAGTGGGCCCTGCCAAGTTCCTTCTTTTTTGTTTTGAGGTGGCTTGCTTTGGCTGTTTTGGGGTTTCTTCTGCTATACTCTGTCTCACAGTACACATAATACAGTTTTTATACGTGTGAAATTACCGGATACCCAAAAATTTCTGGGCAAAGATAGACAGATAGACAAAAATGTTTGTATCAGTAAAAAACAAACCCAGGGTTCCCCGAGCACCATTTATCAAATGTCATCGAACTGAAAATAGTGTATTTGATTCTTAAAGGATTGCGATATATTTGCTCCAGGCAGACGAAAGACAGAAAGCAGAGCAGATACAGAAGGTAGACAAGGAGAGGGACTAGAGGAAAAGACATTTTTGTGGTAACAGTGTTAAATACGCGGGGTTAGCTGGAGCTGGGCTTTCAAATGTCATGGCTGTAAACGTATGGGATCCCTTTCATAACAACATGCTTCAAGGTATATGCCAGGGTATCTAAAATATTGTGGTACCTGTAAATCTTTGTATATATTTTGGGCAATAGTAAAAACCCAAACAGGTGTAAAAATTTGTTTAAAGTGATTGTGATATTTGAGTATTTTCAGTCCTAAATTAGTGTCGAACAAAGATGGTAGAAAATTACAAGAACATTTTTAATTTTAATTTTTAGAAAATAAAAAAAATATGTTTTTAAAAAAAATGAGAGAAAAAGGTATTCGGCAAACTTCTGCAAGCGGCAGGAGTCGATGTTCCGACAGGTGAGATCCCCGAGCAACTTACGGTTTATATTGGGAAAAAACTGCCTAATTTTTTTTTAATCTTTAAACATGTAGAAAATGTGTCTTCATTTTAAAGAAAAAAAAAAAAAAAAATTTTTTTTATTTTTCAAGATATTTGGAGCACCCCGTGGGAGTGAAAAGTGATCTAGTTTGGACAGTTTAAGGGGAACCTTTAAAAGGTTCCCCAAAGTATATTTAATTTTTTACGGTGCCCAGCCCAAATGTTATATTGTTTTATTTTTTCCTGCCTTCAAATTTTTTTTACGATTGGCTGGATGCCCTTTCAGCTAGAATGGGTCCCCCACTCATTGTGTGTGTTTAGAAAAATTGGGACCCCTTAGTACCTTTTGGGCGCCGTTAAAATTTAGCGCGAGTAGAGCAAAAGTGCAGCAAAAAACCAAGGTTTCACTGAGTAATGTCAAATTTTCACCCTCTTTTAAGAGGAAAGTGATGTTAACCCCAAGTTTGGGTTTCTCTATCTTATCTTCCCCCTTTTTTTCTGTTTTTTGTTCTGTCTGTTATCCTGTTCACAGGTACACAAATACAAAATTTTCTAGTGTTTTAATTACCTAGGTAACCCCAAAAAAACCGCACTTTCTATACTTGCTTTAAGATCGGTAAGGTGAGAGCAGTTTTGGCTCTCTCTGAGAGAGGCTGACGGATAGACAGGGAGTTTGACGAAAGCAAATCAGACAGTTTGTGTCCGAAAAAAACAAAGTGAGGGCAATGCTCATCAAATATCGCCTCTAATTTTTTTTCCGCTGAACCTCCCCACCCCGTGTTTGATCAAACTCAGCTCTTATAAGTTGTTATTCTTTTGTCGTGTCACTGTCAGGGGTGGTTTTTTTTTTCTTTTTTCATGTTCGGGGGAAACTTTATTATTTTTTTTTCTTCCTTTTCTTTCCCCCTTTCCCCCTCCTCTCCTCTCCTCTTGTTATTATATATTTACTATCAAAAACTTGCTGGGGAAGAATATTTGTAGATTTCAAAGTAGAAATGGCAAAGGCAGGGGTAAATGTCCCCTGTCAGTTGTTTTTTGTGACAATTTGAGTACAATTTCGACCTAATACTTGTGCCAGAACAAAGTTTGGGTTTTTAAGTGAAAAGAACTCACAAATTGAATTTTCAAACCCAAAAAATTTACATAAAATATAAAAAACAGAAAAAAGGAAATTTTTTGGTAAAACTTGTGCAAACAGAGGACCGATGTTGCTGTCCTGGCATCGTGCCAACTTTTGGCTTTTTTTATCTTGGTAAGTACTGCCCCTAATTTTTTTTATTCAAAAATGAAAAAATTCCTTTTCAAAATATTCGGGGGCTGCGTGGGAATATGTATGTTTGTGTGTATTTAAATATTTTTTTTTTTTTTAACAAGTGGCGTCTCCCCCGAGGCGGGTGACCCAAAAAAAAGAAAAACCCCAAAAAAAAACTTTTCACATTAAAAACTTTAAACCACACCACCTTTTTTTAGGCAGAGGTCTCAAAAAAAAGAGAAGAAATTCAAAAAGATACCAAACATATCCCTCAAACCCCAAATTTTCCCAAAACCCCCCCTTAAAGTTTAGGCATTGTATTCCCAATTAAACTCAAATCTACTTTAAAATAACCTTCCCTGAATCCCTTTAAATTTTCCCCGCTCACATCCAACAGTGTCCCGGTCCAAGTACCCTTCGTCTCCTTCACTCCTATCTAACCGCTCACGCACATTGCTGGAAGTCAAGCCCCCCCCCTAAAAAATCCCTTTTCCCCCTTCCAACCCTTTCGAGGCGACCCTACCCCTCCTTCCCTTCCCCCATAGTTTATATGTTTCCAGTCATTTATTTGTCCATTTCCTCTAAATGACCCCAAAACCCCCTCAACAACCCTCTTTGCCCTCTGACTAATGCTTTATTAAAACTCAACCTTCTCCTATTTCCAAAACCCCAATTTTCGCATAATATTTACCACACATTGCCCTTAGACAGGGGCATTCATGCCTCCCAAACCCTTTTTCGCTGCTGCATTTCCACCAGCTTTACACCATATAGAGTGTTTTTACTACTAACTTTCATACATTCCCCTTTTTTGCCTCCATAGATAACGTTTTTTGACTCCAAATCTAACGCACACTCGCCTTTTTTTCCCCCATCAAATTTTTTGATTAACCCATCTTCATAAAACCACCCGCT